TCAAGAATTAGTTAAAGAAAGATCTGAAATTAATATTTCTGATTTTTAGACAATCATAAATCAGATATAGACTGTTTGCACCACCTGTAAAACAGAGGTTAGTCACACGGGTTGCAGTTTCATAAACTGCAAAACACAGAATGTGATCCCTCCATCTGCAAATCTCCAGCGCCACTATCTTCTTCCATCAAGAAAATAAAATAAAATAGAAATCCTATTTCTATTAATTAATTACATCCTTGATTGAATCCTATACATTCAGTCTAGAAAAATAAAATAAAAATAATTATTTTACAGACCGAATTGAATAGAAATTACAAAAGGAATGCGTAGACAATCTGCGCCAACTCTGCACTTCGATCTCCAGGTACGAACAGTCCATTAAATCAAGAAATAAATCAATAACCATTCAAAATAAATTTCAGATTTAAATAAAATTAATTTCAGATCAATCGCCCTCAACAAGAAACAGTTTCTTGAAATAAAACAGCAAACTGTGCAACACCCAAATAGAACAGCTTCTACCGAATTGCGCAGGTTCAGATCTGAATTCTTGGTTCAAGATTCGAACCTGTGGCTCTTATACCACTGAAAGGGATGGTAGAATCCATCGTATGGACCCCAAAGCTATTGCATAATAGGTGGGCGAATTTCAAAAATTTTCTACCTGTCTTTCAACTGGGAATCGCATTCCCTAATTTTATAATCAAGATTCAAGGATCCTACTTGAACCAGAACCGAACCAGATCTGAACCAGAAGTGAAGGGGAATTATACTTGATCCAGAGAAAAAATTTCTCCCAAAGTTGGTGTTCACGCCCAAAGAAGGAACCAAGATCTGCTCCTGCTGAAGATGACACAGCAACTATGGAACAAAACCAGCAGGGTGCGTCCTACACACTGAATCCTTCACAAGAATCCTTTGGATGACAATGAGCACCAAACCGAATCAGCCTTTCAATAAAGACTGATATCAAGAACTCTTCTTGATCTTCCTCTGACAAAGAAAATGAACTGTGACAGGTGGTGGCGGCTGCAACAGGAGGGGGCTAGAGAAATAGATGGCGAACTGCTTTTCTTTTCTCTAGGGTTCGAATTCATGTAATTCGATTAGGGTTTCTCCCAGTTGCTTAAGGATTAAGAAAGGATTTCTTGATCATATCCAGAGTTGCCCCTTGTCCAAATTTGTATTTGGATTAGGACTCTTCTTAATCCAATCTACAGATTAGATAAGTTTTTGGGCTCATCCTAATCTTAGATCCGCCCCTTAATAATGACTGATCAAATCAGCCCAGTTCGAAATGGGCTTTATGCCCAATAAGGTTATGTGCTCAAAAGTCTTCCAAACTGTTGCCCAGTTGGGCTTCTTTGTATGGCGTGGGACCCAAGCATTGATCTACACACCAGCCACATGGGTTCGGCCCAGCCTCTGTTACAAGGCCTGGTTGAATTCACTAGAGAGCCCAGTAAACCCTCTGAGCCCATCAAATGGTCCCTATGGGCCCAACACTTACACTAAGTGGTCCCTGGGCCAAGCCATCTTATAAAATCCCGGGGACTGTGGGCAAGTGTAAGATTAGCCCATCAGGTGTTATCCAAAATGGCCTTACACTTAACCTCTCAGCCCATAATGATCAAGCACTGCCCGACAAGAGAGGACCTCTCCCTTAGCTGCAAGGAACAGTGTTGCACTCTCTACTTACATGGATCCCGGGAATTAAAACGATTTGCGAACATTTTGAAACCATACTTAAATATATCATATATATAAATTTTGCAAAACAAAATTCTAACGATTGAAATCAACTGCCGGCAGTTTGGTTTTCATCAGAGAGAGTGCATCCCCGATCATTACCTTTGTCCGACAAAGGGGCTGATCCCGTCACTATGATCACCCACTCAGATGAATTCTCAAACTGTCCCAACATACCCAGGTTTTGACCCCTGCTAAGGATCTCACTGATTGGCATATCAAAGACAGCCCAATCCGCACCTAGTGCAGTACCATAATCGGGTTTAGGGGTCAGGTGTAACTTTTTAGTTTTGCCCATCAATCTCCAAGGTCAAGGGCAATACTGGAAATCTGGTCAAGTTCAAGGGTTCAATTAATTCTACATTGCATGTGCCTTGGGTTTCACCCTAGCGGCTGAGACAAGCCACCCCAACAGTTGGCAGCACACCAGTGTCAGTCTTGGCAGGATAAATCTCCCCAGACTTATCCAATGGCTATGAACGTTTAAAACCAACATAAGTCTCATTAAGTGTCCAGTTTTAGCGTCTTACACAGAAGTATACCACACAACATGAATCAAACATGTACTTCATTTATTTACATTAAATATCAAAAGTACATCAAAACCTATTGAAGCTAAGGGCATACAAAAACTGTCCAACTAGAGTAATGATGTTTGAATCGCCGTGGATGATGTCCATGGTGAAGATAAGGTGGTCAAAGGAGATATGGGGTACTGAAGGGCTGCATAGACGACGCCTGCAGGTGCTCTATCCCAGAGCGAATAGGCAGTGATACGAGACGGTGGTGTCGAGGACGCGGAGGGTGGAGAGGGAGGGGTTGTGAGTGAAGCATATGGGCTTCCAGAGGTGGTCTGAGGACATGGAGGTGGTGGTCTGAGGACATGGAGACAGACCACAACTTGTAGACACATGACGTCATGGCTAGAGTCTTGGGGTCAAGGTAGTGAGCAACGAGGAGGAGGACTTCCCTTGGAGGAGTAAGGTTCGAGAGTTTGTGAGATGCAGACATGTTCACTTCCATTTTCCTTCTCTTCTTTTGGTGTGTTCACTTGATTAGGGGGTGAGCAGTGCACAAGCCAGAAGTACACAAGAGGAATTTTGGTTGGTTGTCTCTGTTCATCATTCGATGGCCAGTGGGGGTCTTCGTCATTCTTCTGGGCGGCTTCCAACTGACGCGTGCCGTTGGTAGGGTGACTATGCATGAGAAGGGATTGCTACATAAGGTTTCAGCAAAGGCAACCAAAACCCGGATTGTATAGACTGGTGTTTCAAAACCGTTGCTTTTAAATGATTCTACAAGCCTTGCCATCATCAATAGCTTCCCCGACGACACTACATGCACTAAAGCCTCTACTGTCTGTCAGAGTCTCGGATTCTATACCCTCCGGAGGAGGACCTAATCTGAGGTTTAAATCTATATAAAACCCCCGCTTGGTTGAGAACAAAGCCCTACTCTTTTCCGTGGAACCATTGGCCTCATGCTCTAATCATCATGGAATTGAGGATTCAATGACAAAGAAGGAGTTATGCGGAGATTTTCTAGCTTAAATAGGTTTTAAGAGAAAAAGGGCAAGAAAAAGAAAATAGAAAAAGTTTAATGGGGTATTTTGGTAATTTAACGCTTTTTGTCATCTGATTTAACAACTAAGGGGGTCTTTATCTAACGGCTAAAGTGTAGGGGGTCTTTGTCGCAAAAAAAAAGTACAGGGGGGACTTTGTCACTAACCCCATAGTACAAGGGGGGTCTTTGTAATTTATCCAAAAATATAACAAAAAAAAAAGGATAAAACAGAATAAATAAGTGACATCAAATTAATGACCAATACATAAAGATAAAAAAAAAGGTTCAAGAAAATAATTGGAAATGGCAAAAATAATTGATAAAAATAGATAATTGATAAAAATAAAAGATAAAAAAAATGACAATAAAATGGGGTAAAAACTGCATTGTTGAATCGACTTCAAGAATACACTGCACCATCTTCAATAGAGGCTGGTTTTAAGACTGATTTAGGTGTGAATTTCCACTTTGGGATCTACATTTGTAGTATCCGTATCAATTATACATTTCCCTCTTTGATTGGTTTTAAATTTGGTTCGATTTAGTACAAGACCGATCTTGAAAAATGCAGTTTCTCAAAATATAGGGAATTTGATTCTCAAAATGATTAGAAAATTTTTGAAATTTCATCCAACCATCTAGCATGATTTGGCCATCCATATAATAAATCATAACCCTTCATAACGGTATAATATTATTACTATTTCGCTGAACGGCAAGTAAATCGACCTTCCTTCAACCGGCAACAAAACTCGACTTTCCTTCAAACGACGAACATAGGAAGCTTTGAGAAATCGAAACGAGGAAAACTCAATGACCAGATTAATTTCAAAGAAAGCTTCCAAGGCTATAACGGATATAATGATAATATTTTTATTCTGATGTGGGGGGAGGAGCTGAAACAAATTTTCAACTTATTGACTGGGGATGGCATGGGTTTCATATTCCATACTAAGCTCATAGAAATTTCGATTTCTGAAGGGGAGCTGACCGAAGAAACCCCTTTTATCTGAAGCATAGTAAATCATCCACTCTCACCCTAGTGCAAGTTGATTTGTGATAAGATAAACTAGATATAACTCAAAAAATTGATTGAATTGGACTTAGATGAGCGTCGTTTTACTAGAAATGTCATAAAGCTCTTTCTTCAATTTTTTTAATAAAACCCACGCATCGGATAGGTTCCAACTAGTAATACAAAAAAAGAGAAAATAGAAAATATCCAAACTTAATTTAATCCAAGTAAACTTTTTTCAGGACCATATCCTTAACGGTCAACACATGGAAAAACAAGTCACCCAACAACCGTCAACTAAACAGGACTTGTGGTTGGTGCTATACCAAAATCAGTTTACCACAATGAAGTAAAACATTGAGCGCATGCTAACATCCCTATAACAAGAGAAAATTTAGTTCAGTATATTATGCCCTTACCCCAACCTGAACCTACCTAAAAAGATCAAAATGTCGAAGTTTCACAAGTACGATAGATCCCAAGAGCATCCTCTATTGCAGAGATATTTCAATTTGGACCAGATGAGTGGTATATATATCAGGCCGGGCCCAAAAATTTCTGGGCCTGATGCAGGCCCAAGCCTGTGTCAGGTCTGCACACAAAACATAGGCCCAAGCTTAAAAATTTTCAGTCCAGGCTAGAAATGACCACCTCTAACTGCAACGTAGAATGGGAATGAATTCACAATGACCAACTGTAAAGTGGCATTTTATTCACAACTTATAGGGGTGTATACAGTTCAAGTTCTAAACAACAGTTCCATCTCAGAACGTACAATGGTCTGATCATAAAGATACAACGCTTGTCAATCTCCTAAAGATAATTGCAAGCTCAAGAACAGGTCATGGATCAGATGGTCTGCTGGGAAAAGGAAGAGTAAAATATGGCCAACACAATGATAGAGAGAAGAAATAGAAGACCTGAGGGAATTAATTTACGAGTGGCCACCAACCGTATACCTGAAATGGGGGAAAGGCAAATTAGTTAACAAGTAGAACACATGAAAGAAATGATATTAAATCAGTTCAAATCTATGAAATATAGGACAGCTCAAATAGCAAAGAAACTAAAACAGGTTGAAAGATACCAAATTAAATAAGCAATTATAAATCAAAAGGGTTGTATCCAAATTGGGCTTACCTTGCTACGTTACACACAATGTTAACAATGGTTTACCCTCCGTTGGTTTGCTTTGACTTACTTTGCAAGCAGATCACATAGAAAGAATGCTAAGTATAGATATTCCTAGTAACTTTATACCCTCAAATTGTTTCTGTGTTCTATTAACAAATTTTGTGACACTCACTAAGAACTTTCCCTCAACCTTCTGTTTCTCTCTTATTTTATACCAAACCAAACACAGCCCGAGGTTAACAACACTAACAGGTAGTCTCACATTAAGAATGGGATTTTCCAAAATGAGTATTTGTGACTTTAATTTTTCCAAGATAAAAACTAATCTTGTACTTTATCTGTCTTATTGTTGAAATCTTTGTTTGGCATTACTAACATGTAAATTCAACTTTCTTTTATTTTTCGTACTATTTCTTCATACCAAATTGTCTTTTAATAATAACTCCTATATTCCACTACATTCACATTTGCCTACCATAACCAGACAGGAATAATCATCCTACATCCAAATCATCTCCAGCAGTTAATTGTTGGATTTTCTATTTAGAACAGATGAGCAAAAAAAACTAAAGAAAATCAGTACAGCAAGCTTTTGGCTCTGGGATACACGTTACAGCTTTCCATTAATTGTGAAATCTAAGAGCTTAAAGTTGACTATACTATCAACCATTTTGAATCACCTTTTATGTTATACCCTATGTGGAAACAAAAATGTGACACATTCTGTCAAAATATGCTACACAAGCTATGAGGTACAAGGGATGGTATACCCATCATCCTTTTGTTCAACAATTATAAAAAATGATGTGATTACAAACCTAACAGTTAAGTACCCCAAGAAATATGCCTCTTGAGCTGTAACATGGAAAATTTAACAGAACATTAGTCCTTTAATTAAGTACTTCCAAATTACTTTATAAGGCATAGTGATAATGGGATGGCAGGGACGATGCCTCTAACAAGAAGAAAGTAGGAGCAGATTATGTTATTTTAGAAAAAAGAATTAACAAAGGTAATTTCCAAAGTTAAATATCAAGGTATGAAGAGAAGTTTAAGTGCCACATCCCTGCTAAATTATGCCCTTTGAGTGTATTACTTGCATTTTCCTAGGTCTTTCACCACTCCAATATTTTTTTCCTTATTATTTCAGGTTCCCTACATCAAAGCATTAGAACTATAGCTTATTCTGAAGTGTGTAATCAAGATACCGAATTTTTCCCTCTTGATCAATTTTTTCTCTTCTTGTTTTATTTCTGCAGGTTTATTCAACACCTATAAGCCAACCACAAATCCATCTTAGAAGACACTAACCCACTGCAAATTCCCATCTGTTCATTCAAATAAGCCTCCTTTCTTATCTTTGAAGTTTCTCTAATTCTGGAACTCTTGGGTTTCTCTAACGAAAGGAATCTTTCTTTCCTTCTTTCTCTTTTCTTTTGTCTGTATGTGCGTGTATCACAAACCTACTCTAAACCTCTTCAATACATGCAGGACCCCATTATTAATTATTACAATTCATCCCAAAAAGTTTTGGATTTCTTCAAAAAAGTCAATTTTCTGTGCATAACATACCTAGAATCTTGCCAAATCTGGTAACCCCTTGTATTCTTTCATTCTAAGCCTCTACAAAAATTTTTATAGAGAACCTCCATCCCTAAACCAATTTTATTGATTTTCACAAATTTTACAACTCCTAGTTCCTGTAGGACCTACTCATCCTACATCAAATTGATATTGTGGTAAACCCTGAGGGATTCTGAAACCAATATGACTTATGCAATAAGATTCTTGATTGTACATTCTATAATAGGATTACATGTACTGTCTAACATGTCATTCTGATTAAATCTTATTTAAACCAGTAGTCGATCAAGACTACAATCAGTCTTGAATTCGAAAGCAAAAAGAAAGATTTCAGACGAAAAGAAGGGAGGGAGAAAAGAAGAAGCACACGAAGGGTTTTTAGAAAAGAGAGAGAGGGTCAATCATAATGATCTGCCGACCCACTCTTAATATTTATATATGTAGACTAATTGTAAAAGGGCTGAATTTCCCTTACTGCTTACATGGCAAATAAACTA